TAATTTTATAAATAAAATAATTAAGTTATGTCACTTTGTCCTTAAAACCTTAACCTTCTAATTTAGGGGATAAAAAAAATTGAATTGCAAATGGCAAATGATGCTTTAAAAGCTCTTTTTTGTTATTATATCTCTTATTTTTCAAAAAAACAAAAAAGAAACTCCTCAACAATAGCCCGGGCTTTTTAGCTCCATTTTCTCATAAAAAAAACCTCTTAAACACATTTCAAAATTCTTTTAATTTTTTATTATAAAAAAAATTACACCGTATTTATAAATAAAGTTAATAATTTAAGTTAAACTTAAATATCTCTAAAAAAATTAAAATTAAACTTAATAAAATTATATATTTTAAATATTTTGATCAACTTAAATAAACTCAAAAATTAAAACTAAGTTTATCATTTTAATTTTTTTAAAAATATAAAATATATAAATAAAAGATAATATATTTAAGTATATTATTATAAATATTTTATAAATAAATTATTTGTTTAATCAATGTAGTGGAATGTTAAAATATATTTTAAATTATAAATATTATTTTAAAGATATTTTCCACTGCACCTGTTCTCATCTACAACTTTATTCCTCTTGATCCCTTACACGACTCCAATTGCCGCCACATGTCTCCACTTATAACTCGACACGTCATCACTTAGGGTGCAAATGTAACATCGAAGGAAAACCGACCTTGAAGCCATATCACGTGACCTTGTTCCCTAGCCTCCATCATACGGAACCAGCATAGAACGAACCTAGAAGATCGTTCAGGCCCCTCACGTGACTCATTTGCCTATAAAAATCGATGAAGTTCCGCTCTTTCCTCACTCACCATTTTAGAGCATTTCACTTTGCGAGAATTTGCCGTTTTTTCCTTTCCCTCCCCTCTTTGATCTTCTTTTGTTGTAAATGGCAACCGTGATTCTTCGCTCTAATGATTGTCTTCGAGGTCGGTTTGGCCACGAAGCCTTAGCCCTAACGGCATCGCCTGTCAGATCACGGAGAAACCCTAACCCTAGCGCGATTCCAATCCCTAACTCTAATCCCTGCTATACTCGCCGGAGGAAGAGAAGCCCGGTAGCCGTTCAAGCCATTCATCAGGATCGTGATGGCGGTCGATCCACGGTGGCGAAAGGTCCAGCTACGAACCTTGTCATGGGCCAGGTCAAGATCCTCAAGCGTGGGGAGAGGCTGAGTTCGGAGAACAACCAAAAGCGAGTGCTCGCTGTTTCCTCAGACAACCATAAGATGGCCAAGAGCGACGGAGATTTTGATTTGGTTTTGGGATCGACTGATCGTTTGGGTCCGGATCCGGAAATGGTGCAGAAGCAGATTAGGATTTCGGATTTGAAGGACGGAATCTATGCGGGATCCGCTTTTATTGCATCACCGCCTCCGAGTTCAGTGCCGGTGCCGGGATTTCTTGGGAAGAACGGTGCAGCCACCAGCGATTTGAGGCGGTTGCTGAGGCTGGATTTGGTATGATAAGGGGCAGTCGGGCTGGCGTATAATCTCAAAAGTAGATCGATTCCGTTGATTGAGAATAAAGTTTGTAGTGGTGATTGATGGCTGTATGACAGATGTTAGGATTTCGGTTCTTCCTTCCTTCGTAGATGGTCGTTCGCATAATCTCAACGAGCTTCCTTTATTTTTTCAAGAGGTTGGCTGTTGAATGCGAGCAAATCAAGAATTGTTCGAAGCTTTGCTAGGAGATGCTTCCAGTGATGAGAGTTTGATACTTTAGTTCCTGGAAGGGGGCTTACTCAGTTAGTCAGTATTAGTACACCTGTTAAAGGGCGGAAGGTTGGACTTTCAAGACTAAAATTCTCTTGTAAATTCACGTAGGCTTATATGGTGGATTTAGGCTTTGCCTGTAGATTTCGTGCGTCGTATGCGTTGTCCTTAGATCTTGTGGAAGGAGGTTTGCTCTGTGTTGGTTCGTTTTTTTAATTTTTCGGGGTGTTTGTTTGGTCCTTTTGTCGTTTTCTTTCATTGTAGTTCTGAATTCTGATGCAATAAGATTCATGTAGTTAGCTTACTTTGTGCAGGGGGTTAGTGTCCTTCTGTCGTTCACGGCACCTTTATTTTCTTTTATTCGAAGTTTATTCTTTTCTTCATAAGATTGTTTTTCCATCATCACTTTTGTCTGAAGCATAATATATGGGTTTGTCCTCTTATTCGGTCCCTTGTGAGGGAACTTGCTTCTCAACGAGGATGCCAATAGGGTCATGGTAAAAGAAACAACAGCAAAATTAATGAGCCTTGCGCACGTAGGAGGATACTAATAAGGTCATGGTAATTATGGGCGATTCTCTTCTCTCCTGAGTGCAAAAGCCTTCACGTCCGATTTACTGTTCGGGATGTGGCTTACTTTGCGAAACTTGCCCGTTAGAATGATTATTGTAATGATATATCGTTGATATGATAAAATATCAAGTTAATGTCCAGACTTGGTGTCAAAACAGGACTGTTATTTTTTGGTGTTTTACGCGTCATGGCCAATTTAATTTGCTGTCTGCATGATTTGTTGTGTACCCGGTCCAGCTGAGGGGGTGCAAGAAATGCAAGATTAGCGCATTTTCCAACCAGAAGGTCAACTTAGGTGCTGCTGATTCTCACTGGTTTAAATTGGTTTTTGACTATCATATTTATAATAATCATTCTAATATGACTAATTGCAAAGTCTTGTTGAGTACAAGTTAAATCGGCGCGTACAAGTTTTGACTTTAGTTTGATATCATTCATTGGTTAGACGTTTTAAAATTAGCCATCTGCAGTACATGGAAACCTGGCAGCCGTTGATGAAGACTTCTATATGCATCTCTGATCTCACCAGGCAAGAGCAGTTAGAAAACATGCTGTTCTGTTGCCAGTTTCAACTCACATATGCCTGGTGAATTGAGCGTAACTGTGTGAAGTGAACTAGGCATGCAAATGGATTTAAATTGTATGACTTGATTTGTATTTACTTAAAGAGATGGTAGTTTAGTTGATCTATTTCTCAGGTCGCTTTTATCCCCAATTCGTCTGGCTGTTCAAACAGCTTTTGTTTTGAGTTTGCAGAGTCAGTCCCTCTATTCTATGCTGCGTACAGAGAACTCATCGACCAGTTGCTGCTTTGCGTTAGGGAGGGGCTATCAACTTCACAGGCGGGGGGTCAGGTGGTGAATAACAGAGGGAATAGTCTAGTGGTTTTTTTTTTTTTTTTAATTATTTCAAATTGTGCGCAAAATTGGTGAACGCTTGGGTAGGCTGCTTGTTCTTTTAATTCTATATTTCCTTGAGTTTAAAATGCAGGGAAAGGAAACTCACAAGATTTTCTCAGAACAAAAAGACCATCTATTCATGCAAAATGCAAATTAGTTTGCACTGATGAATGTATAGTTCATCAAAAAACAAATGGGTGAAAGCATTGATGGATATTTTTTGTATTTACTTTTGCTGACTTTTAAAGACTCAAACGGAAAATTTTTTAAAATACATGATAACACAGTACCATTCCATGGCTACATTCAATTTGTATACATCTCATCATATACTTTAGTCATTTTGCATGGTAAAGCATGATAATTTCTACAAGTCTTCTTTTCTAAGACAACTGAAATTGTATACCCTACACATCAGTTGCATCGGCTTCTGGGAATTGAGGTACAATCCTTTTCCAGAACCAGTGCTTCCTCCACAAAAAGACCATCTCTTCAATGGGCACTCCCTTGGTTTCAGGTAGAAAAAGGAAGACTACAATGGTCATGATGGTGATCCAGCCCGCAAAGAAGAGAAAGATTCCATACCTGAAGGAACAGAGGAGGGAAAGGAAAATTTGGGCAATTATGAACGTGAACAGAAGATTTACCGCAACTGTGACGCTCTGTCCTGCCGATCGGATTTCCAATGGGAATATCTCACTTGGCACTGTCCACCCTAGTGGACCCCATGACCATCCGAAAGCTACAACAAACAGGCAAATCACAACTACAACAACTATTGAATAACTCTTCGATAGTTCCTGGTTTTCTCCGAACTTTAGCCCCAATATTATTGCCACTATAACCTGTTCATGTTTGGGGGGAAAAAAATAATGAGACTATAGTCAATTGCTTTGTAGACTTCTTAACATCAGGTGCCAATGAATCATTTAACATGCGATATTGAGTTGTTTAACATTGATGTTTAAGCGTAATCCCTTGCATTGACAGGATTCATTGATCCCAGTAGTGGTAAAGTATGGGCAGTTGTGTTCTTTGTTCCCCCCTACTTTAAATAAGGACGCAGATCTTTTCATTGTGGAACATCCATATTTGATGTTTAAGGCCTGTGATTCACACAAAGATAACTCTGAAAATGCATTTGCTTCGTAGATTATTTTATTTATTTTACCTGGCATGTGATCATTTGTATTCCACCACTGATGAGCAGAGCTCTGCGTCCCAATCTGTCAACTGTTGCTATCGAAATAAATGTGGATGAAGCAAGAACTCCTCCTGTCAAAGCAGATGAATATAGAGAAGCATTCCTTCCAAATCCCATACTATCAAACAGTACAGGAGCATAAAACAGAATCGAATTTATGCCAGTAAGGATCTGAAACGCTGGCATGAGAATTGACATAACCAACTCTGGCCTGTTTCTTTTTTCCAGCATGTTTCGAAAGGGATGCTCTATTGAGTTAGCGTACTCGCTCGCATCAACAATGTCTTGGAACTCTGCATCAACATCTTTGGTTCCTCTGATCTTTTCAAGAAGCTTTCTTCCCTTTTCTTTTGATCCTCTTTCTATTAAGCTGTTTGGTGTATCAGGAAGGAAAATTCCTCCCACTGTCATCAGAATGGCTGGTATAGAAGCTAGACCGAGAGACAGCCTCCACCCCCATGGGTGAAGCTTCTGGGTCCCATAATTGACCATGTTGGCAGTGAAGATTCCGAATGTGGTTGCCACCTGAAACATCATGTTCAGGCCTCCTCGCAGGTGGGTTGGTGCCATCTCTGACAAGTATACTGGAATTGCCTTCAAAACAGACACGAGGCGGAGCTCATATTATCTTTCAAGTTTAACATTAAGGTGCTTATAATGTGACTGGATCATCTTGAAAGTCCTATATCAACACATGCCTTTCTGTACCTATATACTGTTTCATGTTTCAACATATCAGCGCCTTTATTTTCATAAAAGTTTATAAACTCACATTAACATTCATTATTGTTTATTTGAAAGAGGTTTCATGCAGAGTCAATGTGGAACATGATGTGACACGCAATAGTGAAATGATGTTTTCAGATTTGAAGGTGGTATTATATCTAACATGAGTGTGCAGACATAATTTTATTGTTAAAGTATATCTGATTACCTGGTTTCCAAATCCAATGCCAACGCCAAGCATGATTCTACCTAGGAGAAGCATGGCCAGATTAACAGCTGCTGCATTGAGAGCTGATCCAATAAGAAAGCTGATTCCACCACCAATTATACTTGCCCTTCGCCCGTATTTCCTTGTCACTGGAGACGCCAGTAGAGATGCAACTAAACCAGCAAGGTAAAGAGATGAGGTAAACAATGCAAGCCCTTGATTGTTGTACTTGCAGTAATTGCTTTCATGTGCGTGCTCTTTACTTCTGTATACTGACGGGAAAAATTCCTGGAGGAACTCATCCATGGAAGTCACCCCACCTGGTAGCCATTAAACAAGCATAAAAGAAATTTCAATATACAAGGAATGACTCTCCCTTTCTTCAACAAGCATCCAGGTCAGAAACAATCTGCGAACTTCTTGTTAAATACTGTTGCTTTGTTTTTCTTTCATTGAAAATTGGAAAGTTGGGAGTTCTGTCTTTTGAAAATTGAGTTCATAAATCATTACTTAATGCAGTGAAATGGATAAACTGAAGCCTAAAATCCATGGGATACTCCAATATCAGAGGCCACAAAATATGTTTCTAATGTCCTAAACCCAAAACAGGATTCAGTACATCTGGTATCTCGATTGGAGAGCAAGTGAATGATGATGAAACACTGTAGGTTGTATCTATCAATGTGCCATTATTATATGTTAATTGGGGATTGCATCACCTGGAATAAAGTAGTGACGATGAAAAGGTTCCAGAAATGAATCAAACATGATTCCTACATATGCACACGGTACAGAACAGACAAAGAAAGTTAGGCATTCCTGAATATGCATCCTCTTTTAATCCTTATTCTTTAATTCCCATTCTCATAAGGACACAACACACACCAAACTCAGAACTGGGTTTTAATCAGGGAAATGTTATGTTCCATATCTCTTAACCCAGCCAAAAAAAAAGGGGGGGGGGGTTTCGAGCAAATTAAAGTGGGTGATTTATGAATATGGAAAAAGAACCTGAAATCCCAATATCATAGCCGAAGAGAGATCCTCCAACGGCGGCAATAATGCAGGTGATGACGACATAAGCTGTAACTCTGCCCTTGTATTGAGCTGCTCTCTCCTTCGCCACACCTTGTGCAAATGACCCTCCTGCCATTTCTGCCCCACAGAAAAAAAGAAAAAGCTCAAGGCCGACTCTTGTTCTGCTCTCAGAGATTACTATTCCCACACTGCTTCGTAATTTATCCACTTTCGGAGACGGATAAGAATGAAGGGGAAAAAAAGGTTACTCTTTTTGCGAAACCCCCCCACAATTCCGGCAAGAGAAAATCCCCAGTGGACGCGAACTTTAATGTTGGTTTCGGTTTTTTGTTCTGAGAGTGCAACTGTGCATTTATGACTCAGTCTAGGCTGGCTTCTCTATCTTCTTCGTATTTTAATCTCTTCTCACAGGGTTTCAAGGGACGACTCATAAGAATTAGGATAGTGACCAGCACGAGGAGGTGTTCCCATTTGTATTGCCTTGTATTTGTTCGGAAAGTCCTCTGAATGACGCAATATTCAATGTTGATGTGCTTAGCATATGGTGGAAATTAGGAATGGGATGATTGTACAGTGCATGTGCAGGCACAAGGGAACCTCATTTTTGGGGAGGAGAATGGTTAATGATTTTGTTTTCAAGGATTATGATTTGTTTCCTTTGCTTATTCTATGAATCATAATCCATTGGTGACTCCGTGCCACGTGTGTATTCTTTCGCATATTGAATCGGATTTTCTGGATCTTATCCTGTTTGTCCGTAAGTAGGAGATAGATAGAACAATTTGGATCTTTACTGCATTAATTTCACTATCTTTTTGCCTTTGTCAGTGGGAAAACTAGATAATTGGTATTTGCATTTTATAGAAATGAATCGTATTATTAATCATTTATTACTAATTATATTAGTTGCTATAAATTTCATATTTTATCTTAATGTTAATGATACGGATATTAATTGATAAATAATTGCACCTTTTTAAGGCGGGTTTCAGTTCAAGTTTCCACATTTTGTGAGGGTCTGTTCTCTGTTGTGGACTTGTGGAGGAAGAATTGAGAGAAAGGCTGTGCCCTACTATTAATATATATATATATATATATATATATTGGATGAGTCCGTATTTTTGGTTATAAATATTTAAATAGAAAAAAAATTGTCGCGGATATTCTCCTATATTCAAGTCACTTAGAAAGAAATGCTTATCAAGGTTAACAAAAAAAAAAAGTGAAAGAGATGGGGAGTTTTTTTCCCCCCTTATAAGTTTCTTTGCGTAAAAAAGATGGATTTCCAATTTACTCTTCGAATTTCTTATAACTAAAGTAAAATACTTTCTTCATACCAAATTACAAAATTTTTTTAAATAAAATTATGTATGCCAATAGAATTTATTAAGTACATTTAGGACTTTATTTTTTAAAAAATATAAACTTTAAAAAATATTATTCATTTACTACTTCATTTATAAAAGAATATTAAAAAATAAAACATAATAGAAAATATAATATTAAAAAAATATAATTAATTAAATTTTATTTTTGTCAAAATGTATTATATTTTGAGATGTTGAATCTCTTTTAAAAATATTTTATCTTATATTTATTTATTATTGTTTGAATATATGGACAATAATTTATTATGATTAGCAATTATAAAAAAGATAAATTTAATGAATTACAGATTTTTAAAAGGGTTTTAAAAATATAATTATCAAATGCAGAGTTGGTTAAATTTATACTAAGGTAACATTTGGGATTTTTTTTTTTAATAAAATGGAATGACTGGAAACCTTATTTCTTTGTTTGGAAGAAATTTTTGAAAAAGAGTGAAATAGCTTGTGGGGCCTTCCAAACTATCTGTTAACATAATAAACTTATTTTTCTAAACCCTCCAATTTAAGAGATTGAGGATAAAATGATATGATATAAATAATATTATTATAAAATTACCTTTATCTTTATAACCCCCTCTCTCTCTTTCACTTTCTCTCACTCTTTAAAACTAAAAAATATAATTATAAATAATTTAAATCTATTAATTTTATAATTATTTTTCAAATAATGATTAAATAAAATCATTTATTTTTTTAATAAAACTCTTAAACAATAAAATTTTTATTCCGTTCTACTCCATCCTACTCTATCCCATTTTATTCCATTAATAATAGTTCTTTTTCATTTCATCATATATTTTCAAATACTTCCCCCATTTTCATTTATGTAATATTTAAAAAATATTTTTAAAATTACCTTTTATAAGAGAGAGAAAGTAATATGACATCAATTTTTAAAATCATTATATAAAGATATATTTAAGATCTTACACACTTTTATTTATTATATTTTTTTTTATATTGGTATTGAATGCTACTGTTGAATTTGATAAAAATGACTTATAAAAAAATTAGAGGGTATATCCCAATGACTAAAGAGTAACATATGAAATAAAAATACTATACATATATATATACATATACATATACATACATACATACATATATATATATATATGAGCGAAGGATCCCTGACAATGAAATTGAAAACACACTTTCATAAATCATTTTCATTTGTGACTTCGCTTTTGTTCGTCGTTCGTAAGTTGGTTGGCGATGGAATGTGTTACTTTTTCTTCGTCGGCAAAATTAGATTAGCACAGCTCCTTGGACTTTGACCATTTGAATCTCTACGCACTCTGATTTGGGATCTCAATTCATTAATCTCATGTTTATACTTAAACTAACCGGAAAATTATGAAATCAATATTTACCCAATATTTAACTTAATTATTATCCCTCTTTGGTTGGAAGAAAATGAAAAGGAGGAGAGAAGGTAGATTTTAATAAATTTGATTTTTTTTAAAAAAAAAAGAGAAGTCTGACTGAAAATTTTTAGTCTGATCACTTGTCATTTTTATAAATCAAATCCATTAAAATCTCACTTTTTTTTTTAATTCTTGTTCAATGTCACGGGACATAAAACCTAGTTATTTGATATGTGAGATAATATCAAACCAAATTTTGAGTATTGAGACTTAATTATAGCTAGTTTTCTCTACAACCCATACACTCAAAACTAGTTTTCTCTACCGGTCGATTTACAATTTTCCAATTCTCAATTTTATTCTAGAAAAAAAAAATCAAATTATTGAATTTAACTCTACTATTACCATTAATTAATATTGATAAAGTAATATTAATTGATTGATAATTGCGTTTCCCTTACGTAGTGGGATTTCAGTTCAAGCTTCATCATTGAAGGACGGTGGAAGTCAGGGAAAACTAGAAAGGTTGTGCGCTGCACTTATTGGTTCTGATATATAAGTCACGAAAAATACTTAAATACACCATATACATCATATCATTTATTATCCTTTCAATAAAAATATAACATTTAAATAGTATTCAATAAAAATATAACATTTAGATGGTATTAAATATAAATTAATTTCGATATTAATGATAATAGAAAAAAATATAAAAAATTAACTGTACATTCTATTATAAAAATAAAATCAATTTAAAAAAGACACAAAAGATTTTATTTAGATTACTTAAAACATTTTAATTGAATATATCATAAATGATGTGGTTCACTCAATCTATTTAAATATTTCTCTATAAGTCACTTCGAATTATTTCACCAGAACCAAAGAGAAATAGTTAGATTATTAATATTATTTAAAAAAGAAAGATTTTTTTTAATTTATTCTTATTAAATATATCATCTTTAAAAATATTTTCTCTTTCAGATATAGTCTTTTACTTTGATTAATGATATATCCTTTTATGCAAAGTGACTTATAAAATTAACTATTAATTTTTTCTAGAAGGTGACTCATACATAGGACTATCATATAAGATTTTTCTCTCTCTTCTTTAATAACATAAAATTTGTAAAATATATGGACTTTCAACTTCTTTTTGTGTAAGCACCTGATATTTTAAGCCTGCTTTACTTAAACTATAAGAACTTAATGAGACCTAAATTAATTCGAACAATGTATGACAAGCACTATAAGGGTGGGTGCCCTTGGTCATTTCTACTATTGTATATTTAGGACTCAAACTCAAAATATCTAGTTAAACTATAATAACTCTTACTAGTTGATCCAAGTGCTTGTGGTTACAATTAAAATGAGTTCCCAACTTCCTTTATTACAATTTTCTTGAAAAGTTAAGTGACTTGCAAGAATAATAACAGGTGCGCCGTGAATGAGCCTGAAGCTCAATAATATTATTTAAAAAAGTAAGTGTAATGAGGTGCTTCTTGAGTGTTGAAAAGCAAATAAGTCTGGGAAACTAGCCTAGGCAACTAAGTTTGCACGAGGAGGGTAAATCATGTAGGGCAAGATTAAAGACGACACAAGGTCAATAGTTAAGTAATTGTGTAAGGCAAGTCTAGTATAAATTTGCTGAATGTCAAGAGACCTTGGTTTATGTGCTTATTGCCTGTTTATAGCAAATGTCACTCTTTCAAATTCAAGTTTAGTGCCAGTACGGGTAGATAATTGTTCACACCTTCATATCTCTGAGGAGAGCTCCATTGCGCGAAGTAATGGGTATGGATATGTCGAGAATCTTGAAGAGTGGATGGAGCGGGTGCAACTCCATTAATTCTTCTTCAAAATACACTGTCTCACTTATTCATGTAAGGCTAAATCTCTATTAGGCCAATTATCTAGGCTTTGGGAATTATCACAATTAGGCCTCACCCTCCGATTTTGGTTCAAACAATAAGTTA